TCCAAGGTTGAGTTATGTGTAGTTTTAATCCATTACCGACCTAAAACTCAAATATACGGATTCCGGATGCAGGTACTCAATGAACTCGATCGCAGAAAGCCGGATAAGTGACTAACGTAAATTTAAGCTAAAGGATACCTAAGAAAAAAACTAAGAGGATAGTAAAACAATATACGTTCATTAATTTCAAATTTACTTTGGATTACTGAAACCATGACTGTTGAAAAAAAGCTATCAGCAGGCAAATTTTTTGTATGGCCACAAAGAAAACGGTTAACAAAGATTGANATTGAAAGTGAAAAGACAATCTAATGGGCCCGGAAGTAAGTTCACTTCAAACGAAATGTTTTTATTCAGGAGGGGGGTGACAGTGGTCTGTAAAAAGCGAAAAATGGAAAAGCAATATGTTTTCCTGACACTAACTCACTGTATAAGTAGACACGTTTGCGCAAGAAGAAAATTTTGCCGGATACATGCTATATTGTTGTTTTTTTTTAACAGTATTATGATGGAAAGAAAAACTAGCTTTTCATTGAAAGTAAAACTTTCTTTCAGAAACGTCGCTCAGTAAACTAGCAATATTTTAGTTTGATGCTATCAAGTACGTGATAATAACAACCACTAATTATATTATTCATTTTGGAACAGAACTGATAGAAGTTCAAAAGTTATTATGAATGATTCTATTAAACTTGGGTTTCGTAGAGCCAAGTGTAAATTGATACTCTCGGAGAGGTAGCCGCGTGGCTTCGAAATTGTACGATACACAGATATTGACAGGATATCATTGACTACTTTTTACTACACAACTGTGTGATAAAAAGCAGACGGGGCGGACCCCATAGTCATGAAGACCTGCTGTTCAGCGATGGTAACCGGCACCCCAAGCCCCGGGGCTTGGAGTGGCGAGCCATATAAGCCCCCTCTTCCTAAGTTAGGCGTGGTATTGAACCAGATGTGGAACCAGCACTCAGTGACTGAAACGGCCCTGAACCTGAGCATGTGCATAATAAATTTGAAGATGCGGTATCGATTTCGAAGCTCAGACTTCTGGAAACTGTCCTCTGAAGGCTTGTTTTTACAGAGTTGATTAAATCTACGGTGGTACGTAACTTTATCTGTCTGAAAAACTGATGCAACGAATGTCTTTTTGGTAAGTCGAAAACAATGGAAAAACCGTAAATACTGCGTGCCCGTGTACATAGAAAACAGAATTTCCACTAAAATGTTTTAAAATTAGAACGGACAACCGACAGAATTAAACAAGTCCCTGGAAAGGATTGAAGAATATAGCCAGATTGCATTTATGGTGGAAATTAATGAGATGATATGAAATGCAAAACACCTTTTCAATTTACCAAATAGACCTTCGGGACCAATAAATCCTAATATCCAAATAGAACCCGCTACTGCGAAACTATAGATATGGAAGAGTTGAAAATAATCCACAATATGTTACCACAAACAGAAACAAAGCAGTGAACCTGAAGACTCACCGGTGACAGGAGCATCAATATTCAGCACTGTACTTTCATCTCGTAACAGAGCCGCGCCTTTCCGAATGATCTGTAAGGCTACATCTTCCGTGACGCGACCCTCAAGGATAAAATGTTGTTTGAGCTTCTCAATTCTGGGTTCGCCTCGATGATCAAATACATCTGTAGCAGTTAGTCGGTAGGTAGGTGGATGTGGAACACCTAAACCAGACGAGCAGACGCAGAAAAGAAACAGGATAATAGTAGCAGCAGTTAGAGATCATGAAAATCCAAGGTTGATGTACAGCTGAGTATGGCGCGAACTGAATATCGAAAAATAGGAAAGCGGAACTCTATTCGATTATAAAATCTAGTACTATAAGCTCTGATAGTTTAAGCACTTAATGCGTTGAGTTTTGTGAGCTATAAACAGACGCGTATATATTAGATCATATTTTGATCCAGAAAACATCTTCGATGAATTCGACAAACAAAGAGAACAAGTGAACATCAAGCGCTGACTCAACGACGAAACAAGTAGATTACGGAGAATTAATACCAGGAGTCAGATTCAGAGTGGTATATGTAGAGAATCAGAACTTTTTAAAGACAGTTTTTCATAAGCCCAGCTTATAAGGCAAAACGAAAGTTAATGAATTTCACATAAACTGATGAAGGTTTTTCAACTCAAGTCAAAACACGGTATGTAATACAACAGGTGAACCTTAGAAAATTAGAGCGTGGTAAAGATTGACAACTTCGACCATAACGAAACAAAGAATAGCACCGATCTTTTCACATTCGAATTTACCCATCCAACTTACAGAGGCATGTGGCATCCACCAGTTAGCATGTAAGCTGACTGCCCCGACAGGTTTTCCTTAGAATTCCCGGGAGTCCACCGAATGAGCTTCTAAGACAAGGTTAATTGTTTAAATTGTTGTTTGGCAAATTCGAAGTTTGTATGTCGATTGTGAAAAGTTCAGTAGCCTCGGTGTTACTGAACTTTTAACAATCGACATACAAACTTCAAATTTGCCAAACAACAATTTAAAACCAAGAATGTCCCTGTTAAATGTCTTACTGTGCAGGGTGGCAAAAGTTGCTGCCATTAGATCACCACTTTGCTAACATATGGCATTGCGATACTAGTTACATGTTCTTGGATTACGTGGCTGTAATGAAGGGAAAATATTTTGATTTATTTCTCTATAAAAGTAGATCATGTGCGTATAACCAGTCAGACTTCATTTTTAGCATTAAAACCATATCAATGGTGAGATATGAGAGCGTGGAAACAGGGTGGATGCTACAAATCAGTAACCACATAATGATTGGTATCGGACAGGTCATCAATAAATTAAAGGGTAGGCAGCTTCGTAGTCGCCAGGTTTATTAACCCAAATGTATTATTGGTTCATCCCCTTAAGTTCCAGGGCTTAGGTTGCCATCCAGAGAGTGTATGACTCCGGTTAACTTGGCGGTGACCAGCACTGGATTTCGGTTTTTACGAACCACAGCGTTTTGTTTACCCGGAGACTCATGTTAAGCACCCCACTGATTGGGGCCACCAGGCCGTATTCCGCTCAAGAGCAAACTATTTTTGCACCGTGAGTTTAGGCTTAAACAGATGTGAAATACAATAACAATATTATTATAATCAATAATAACAGAACCTTCAGGGGATGAGGTTTCATCGTGGTTTGGCCTAAAGTTTTAGTGTGAATTCAAAGGGAATAAAGCTTTCGTATTGCAGCCTCCAAATGAATATGATAAAATTCTAGGTTTCACACCACTGCGAAATGATGCGATCAGTTATCTGCTTAGAGCAACGCGTAACTCCTGCACGACGAGGAACTTTGGAATCGAATCCTACTGCTCAACGGTGGATTGTACGTTACCCAAGAAAAATAAGTAGGCTGTGCGAGTACTGACAATAGTTTACACGATAGGCAAGTTGGTTTGGTTGTTTAAAAATATGAAGGATAATTTTGACGGTGGTACAGTTCAGTTTTTATAACCATTGACTATGCGGTTCCGTGCGACGGTTGTACTTCCTGTCTCTTAGCTACCCATTTGGATAGAGGGATGATTAGAATGCTCTAGTCAGCGACAGGGCAAAAACAAAGAATTCACAAAGACTAAGGTTGCAGAAACATTGAGTAGAGGCACTCGTGTCACTGGTTACGACATTCAGCCGGTAAACTCACGGGATATGCCAGGTTTTCGCACCATGGTTTGTGTGTCTGAATACACGTAGCGTGATTTATCTACTGTGGGGCTTATCTTCACCGTAAAGAAAGTGAAGTAAATGCAAATTGAAAAGCTGGGAGGCATGATGAGTTGTTTTAATCTTTTTGGATTTCAGCGAGAAGACGAATCCAGGGGGTTTGCAAAATACGAAACACAGCTAGATGAAACTACCTTCATAGTTGACCTAGGGCATAGAGGCAGCGAACGCAAATGGGTTGTGATTACAGTAAAAGTTGTATTATAAAGTGAATACTACTGTATCTAAATTTCTATCGGATGACCCCAAACTCTAAAGTGCAACTGGTAAAAGATCATAGAACTTTAAGGCTAAAGCTCTTTAAAGGAAGAGGAAAAAGAAAAACTGAAATTGGGGAGAAGTATACAAGTACCTCACACGCAAATTATCTATCTGTTATTAACGGGGAAAATCGTCAACTGGTTATTCACTTCTGTTCATTCCAACACCTAGAATCATGAACCTAACACAGCCTTGGTTTCCGTCCCTTAAGAAACTCCAGTGCGAAATGTTCATCGTCATCGAATAGCGAGATACAGTAAAGCGAACTTCGCTGATCGATGCCAAGCTCACAATGTACACAAATTAGGCGATCAAGTATAAGATGGAGAGGGATTGGGCCTAATCTAGGTGACAATACTGAAGAAAAAGGAAAATAATTGCAAAAGCGATGTAGGGAATTTTAGTCTCGATCGGAAAATAAGTGAATATTCCATTCAGAAGAAAACAATTTCGCCCAGAATGCACATTCAAAGACAAATGAGTACGATTCATTCAGAACTTTTGTTGCTCTCGTTGAGAAGTCAACAAACAGAGCTATTCATCACATAAACACCACTATAACACTAAAGCTAACTTAAAACGATGTCTGATTCCTCCGAATTATCGTCGGACCTTGGGATCATTGTAATCAATGGTTAGAGACATTGAGNGCGCTCGTGCATCTACTCATTACTTTTGCAACCTTAGTCTACCAAAATTCTACATTTTCTCTTTGACTACTTTCAACTTTCCCATCATTCTTCCACCACTTCATCCATAGAGGCAGCCAAAAGACAACCGCTATCCCATCGCCTGGCAGTTGCTTCGCTAGTTCTTTTGTATCATCACTATTTTGGTCTTTGCTTTTCTGAACTCGCTTCAGCGATTCCCCTCCCCTTGACCTTCTCTCGTCCATCTTGCTTTCAGGCTGGTAGTCATCCTCATTAAGTTTCTAACCCCAGAATTCGGACCTGTATCTTCCAGCCTTCTTTTTCCTCAGGACTGCGAAATTGTGGAACACTTATCTA